CTTGGTTATTCAGTGCTTCGTATGCTACAGTTTTAGCATATTTCTATCCTCTATTGAATCCTTGGATAACTGAAACGTTTACTTTGCCATTTCTCCACATGTTGCATCTTGCTGTATTTCTTTGTTTTTTTTACTTCAGAGGATGGATGACATCCTCATTTTATTCATTTCTATGTACTTGTTATTGAATTTTTTAAAGCCTGAATGAGAAAAATACTTTTTACAAAATTAACTAAAGTTAAGAGCCTACGTAAGCAAAACTTATTAAGAGTTTAACATACCATTTTTAGGGTCGCCTCTTTTCTCTGCAAAAGAAAAATTAACAGAATTATAGTTTCAGAAAAGTAATCACAAGTCAGCAATCTTTAGAAAGTATGAAGCGGAACTTATTAAGAGGTTTTAGTGAGAAAAAAAAGAGTCAGAAAAGTGCTTTTTAGGTTCAATTAGTTCTGTTAAAGCCCTAAGGTGCAGAAATGCCGCTTCACATATGAAAAAGCATTTTAATAGAGCAGTCAGGTTATTCTTGGCCTGAGCAGAAAAAGAAGAGAAGCAAAAGATTTGAAAGCTCAACTATGTTTGCCATACAGTGTCCTGCCAGCTGTGCCAGCCCCGTGAGCCTTTGAACCCTCAGTCATCATCACAGTTTCAGAGGTGCACTTCAAAAGGCCAACATGCTGGAAGGAGCTGAAGGGAAGTCAGAGGAGCCTCACAGCAAAGACATTTACTCTACTGAGAAAGACTGACAGCTTTACAGCAGCAGAGAGGAAGAGATGGAGCACACAGCAGCGAAGCGAAAGAAAAAATAAAAATAGGGGAACAAAACCCCACAGACACAAACAAAAACACAGTCCCAAACCAAACCTGTCAGTGGAAACCACAGCTTGATGACTGATATGAGAGGTGATATTTTTTTTCCGAGAAATACTTTTGGTTAGGATCAGTCCTCTACAAGCCTTCCACTGCTAGTGTCCGGAGAGTCAGTGCTATTCACAGCTCAAAGTAGATTTTCATTTTTACTTTCACCACTAAACAATCCTGCACTTTTAACTACCTCCCCTCCCTTCTCTAACAGTGTGCCAAACTCTAAGTCAGCTCCAAACCTGCCTTTAAGGCAGTGACTTTGGAGCTGCATTCAGGCTGAGTGAGCAAACGATAAGGTGTGATCTCCAATAAAAGTTGTGAAAGGTTAAACCGATTGAGGAAGAACACAAAGACAAACTGAAACATTAAAGTTCACCTATTTTCCGCTGTCGTCGGTTGAGCAAGTCATCAATGGTGGCTCTGAATCGTTTGGCTTCTTCTTCGCTGGCGAAGTTCAAACCAATCTGACATGTCTGAAAGAAAGAGAAAGGGTGAAATGTGATTCTAACAGCTTTCTCTGAAGAACAGAAAAACTGTGCAACATTAAATCGTAATACACTGTAGGTGGATAAAGACAAGCCTGACAACTGATATTTGGAAATATGAAAGAACCACACAGCCTTATTTTATGCTGATAAAATTCTTGGTGAGAATAGACTCTAAAAACAGGAAGACTAATCATCTGCTGTAGACATTCAAGTCTTGAAGTAGTCAAAAGAAAACATTAAACACTTACATCTCCTGCAAATGTAATGAAGTAGGGTCTGGAGTTGCTGATGAAGAAGTTGTGGTAGAGTTCCTGTTCGAACATCATTTTCCCTTCCTACAGAAAAAAAATTACAGAAAAATGAAATTGAAAGAAA